GTTGACCATATAAGGTTACATTTGGCATGGTTGACCATATAAGGTTACATTATGTTGACCAATCACATCTTTACACATGTTGTTGGCTGTTTTGTTACCTGGCAGGTATAGTGTCATTGGGTCATTAGGTGATATCGCAAGACAAACGCACCACACGCTGCGTTTGGCAACCAAAGCATTTCCTCAATCACTCTAAATTCTCTTCCACCCTCTCACTCTCTGCAGTTTAAAACCAGAGAAATTAGTGATATTCTAGCAACCCAGGAAATATGTCTGCAAGGACAGGTGGTGTTGGAAATGGCCCAGCAGGGATCTGTGTAGGAATTTAGTCAAAATTATCTCTTCAGGAAGGCCAAAAACAAAGAAATGTCTCTGGATGGAGGAGGAGGCAGAATGCAAATCAAGATGGCCCCTACAAGGGTCGGTCTTCTGCAAAAGGCAAACAATAAGCATGCTCTGAAGGGAGGAAATTCTTTTGTGGCCCCTAAGTCTTCTAGCTTGAAGAAGGAATCATTTTTCTTATTGGGTCACCTACTAAATCCAACGACTAAGACACAAGAAGACACAGATAATTAAGGATAACTAGAATCTTTCTAGAAAACCTCCAATCCAGTGGAACAGTCTCCCCTTACCTAGTGAGGAATCCAGATCTTGACTTCTATCCTTGGGGATCCCTCTGAAAGACAGATCAGGAGAAAGATTTGTGTGATCCACCCAATTACTCCCCATTCATGGAAGGACCTCAGAACCTGAAATATAAGCAAAGGAGCAGTTAAGAGGACAGGACAAAAGAGGACCTGGATGTTATTTTCTGCCTACGAAACCCTTGTGTCCATCAGTGAAGATGGATGAGACCAACGAGAGAATCACTCCAAGTGAGATCCTCTTTGGAGGGAAGCAAGACTAATTTCACTAATGAGGTTCCCTAAATATCTACTTGCATTATTAATCTCCAAAACTCCATCAGAGAGAAATGGAAGAATCCAAGCATGTGAAGATCCCTCCGTATTCCCCAAAAGAAGTGTTGGAAGAAATACCCTTCTGGGTTCAGTTCCAAGTGGGGGAAAAGACACTGGATTCATACCTGGTTCATACTAACATATGTGGTGGGCATGTCAAAAAGTAAAAAAAATATTGGACAAAAACATACATGGCTTGAAAAAAATGATAAAACAACATATAGATAATTGTTGGGCATACTACCAGACAGGTATAACAAAGGGAATGTATATCTGATTTTACTTGTATTGATTGCAGCAAGAATAGTATTTGCACAACAAAGGGAAAGTGAAGAGATCCCAACCAATGAAGATGTGATTAGAATAAGCTAATGCTTACAATTAAGGAAAAAGAAGAAACTTTTTTTAAAACTCGGGACTTATTTTATCAATGGCTAGCAGACAAACACAGAAGCTAGGAAAAGGGAAATATATTAAAGGATAAGTGATATAAGGAAGATACATTAACTTGGTTAAACAAATAGCCTGATCATTATTGTTATTAACAGTAATATAATTGATACTGGCTCTCTTGGTAGAACACACAGAGGGAGAAAGATCTACTCTCTCCCTCACACACACACACACAAAGGCATACACACATTTCCCACACTTTTCTGGGCTATAAAATTAAAATTTAGAGGTACTTACCTTCTTTCCATGCAGCCTTTGAGCTCAACACTCAAGACCCCTTTTAAAACCTTTGTTCCAAATGGCCAAGATCCAGGGAAACTCACCCACAGACTCAATGGGTCAGCTTGCCGGCCAGGGTCTGCTTATCTGGACCAGGTCCATTGATCTGGTTAACTTGGGAGTCCCATCTGCTGGGTACCAAATTGTTGGAAGAAATATCCTTCTGGGTTCAGTTCCAAGCGGGAGGAAAAAGACACTGGATTTGTGGAAGTTGCTTGGAAAGGAGGTTTAATGGAGCACAGGATCACGTGCCTGGGAACTCCTGGGTGTAAAAGGGAAGAGATGCTGAGCGTCCTTGGGTTTTATGCTCTCTGTTGGGATTTGAATTTGAGCTTGTATTCTGATTGGTTGTCAGACTCCCATGGGGCTATGCAGGAGCAACTCTGTAGGCTGTCCTGAGTCCCGGGCTTGGTTGAGGCTTACTGGATGATGATGCAATGAAAGGGCTTTGTGCAGTTCCTATTATAGCTCTACCTGGAGTACATGTGTTATGTAAAATACACTGGCCCAGATCTGAGTAATGGCCCATTAGCAAAGGTGGGTGGGTGTGCGAGTTTCTGCTTTTCTTTTTAGGGGAAATATTCTGCCTTTTTAATATTTCCTAGGATATTTCATTTTTCTAGGAGAGGGGTAGGTGCTAACTTCCTACAGGTAGATGGCTAATCCTATCATGCCCTGATCCCATCATCCTGGTGCAGGGAGCTGCAGGGAGCTGCTTTGTCTTTAAAGACATGTTTCTCCTTTTCTCATCCAGGCAAATATTATATTCTGCCTTTTTAATATTTCCTAGAATGTTCCTACTGAGAACAATCAACCCATGGAACAGAAGTTGCCCTTGGAAGTTGTGGGAGCGCCATCACTTGAGACTTTCAAGAAGAGATTGGACTGCCATTTGTCAGAAATGTGTGTAGGTCTCCTGCTTGGGCGGGAGTGTGTGTGGACTTGATGACCTATAAGGTCCCTTCCAACTCTGATTATCTGTTATCTGAATATTTCATTCTTCTAGGAGAGGGGTGGGTGTGCTAACTTTCCACAGAAGCTTCTCTGTTCTGGGGCCCTTCCTGCCTCTTCTCCTCTGCCAGTCTCAGAAGGGATCTTCCAACCACTGGCACCTGGAGACTGCTGGCTCTCCCGGCTCTCCAAAGATCCTTGCAGCCCCGGAATCTGAATCTGAAGGAGATGTGAGTAGGGGATTCATTTAGGTTTCTTTCTCTCCTCCCCGCTGCCCCATTCTTGGATCTGCCCCCATGCACTGCCCAGAGTAGTTATGGGGAGGTTTTCTCGCTCTCTTCAAGCCACGTTGCCTACCCTGGGGAGGATCTGAGTCGCGGGAAACCCTCTTTCCCGCCACCACCAGATTCCCAGAGAGCAACTCTCAGCTGGAATTAGCTGACTATTCAGACATAGTGGAGCATGTGCAATGGCCTTAGTCAGCAGCCAAGAGAGCGACCTCTGCTGGCCACTGGGAAGAAATTGCGGCCGTGGGAGCAGCTTTGAAGACTATGCTGGGCAGCCTCTGCCCGGAGCTGCACCTGCCCTGGGGAGCGAGCTCTGCAAGCGGCATCCGGGAGAAGCCAGGCGGAGATCGTGGGCCTCCCCGGGTCCTGGTGCAAAAGGCGACTGGCAGAAAGTTACCCGGAGGGGATTCCGTCAGAGCCCATCGACTCTCTGTCTCTCTGTGTGTGTCTCTCTCTGTCTCTCTCTGTGTCTCTCCTGTCTGTCTCTCCCTGTCTCTCTCTCTCTCTCTCTCTCTCTGTGTGTGTGTGTGTGTGTGTGTCTTCTGTCTGTCTCTATCTGTGTCTGTCTTTTTCTGTCTCTTGTCTCTCTGTGTTTCTGTGCATCTCTGTCTCTGTCTCTCTGTCTGTCTCTCTGCCTCTCTCTCTTTCTGTCTCTGTGTGTCTCTGTCTCTCTGTGTGTCTCTTTCTGTGTCTGTGTCTCTCTTTCTGTCTCTCTCTCACACACACACACACTCAGAGTGAGAGAAGGAGGGAGGGAGCGGACAGAAAGACTCACACTATCAAAGCTTAAAACAGACCCGGGAAAAGTGAAAGGGTTCCCAGGAAGGAAAAGTGAATTTCCCTTGTGGGAGCTGAAGCTACAGAGGGTCCCGTCTCTTCCCCGGAGACCCAACAAAAGTCCACGGAACCCAAGAAACTTTGAGAGAATCTCCTGCAAAGGGAGCAAAGCCAAAGGAGGAGCCTGCTTTGGATAGATTTTCACAGGAAAGAAGCAAAGTGCCAAAATCGTTTTCCTATTCATGCACAGGTAGGCTCGATTGATGTCATTCCAGAATGTCTCAGGGGACTTCCTTCCCCTCCCAGTTTTCCCCCTGAAGGTGTAACATGGTGTGATAAGTAGGATTACATATGTAAGATTATTCCTGTAAAAAGATAGAGCCACGGTAATGCCACCTTTAGCCTCTGTGTAACCTAAGACACTTTACTGGAATATTAAGATATTATGTTATGTAAGATATTCTCTATATTTACAATAACAAGATTTTTTTGCACATTGTGGCAGGTCATATATTTGGCAGGTCACGCTGTCCAGTTGTCATGCTAAATAATTCGGACATTAGGAGAAGCTGCCAAGACGTTCTGACCCAAACCTGGTTCCACGAGAATAAACACAAGACAAAGATACCAGCACAACCTTTTACTGTTTCATTTACGAATCCTGTTTCTTCACAGATAAAAAGGCTGCTTCCAACTAATTAGCTCCAATAAGGAAGAGCCTTGCCAAGTTTTCGCAAGTCTGCCAAGAACAACAGATAAAGTTCTTAAACAATAAATCAAAGAATCTCCAAATACCAACTCACATATTCTAACATCCACCAGGCTCGAGTATCAAACTTCTTTGCCTTCTGCAAAGAACTGCAGTTTCTCAGCTGGCTTTTATCTTCTCAGGAAGGGGCCATTACCTTCCAGTCTTACTCCCGAGTCGCCTGTGCTGCTCTTTTCTTCTAGCAGCCATGCGCGCACGCACACTGGGCCCAGGCTCCTCACTGCTGCCAGCCTCCACAATCTCCAAAGGCAGCATTCCACTCCCTGATGGTCCTGGCCCCATCCCTGCATCACTCATCTGAGTCCTCGCTCTTCGAGACCTCAGCCATCTATACCTACTCCAGGGCTGACAATGGGGTGCCCTGCTACACTTTTGACCCCAGCTCCGGCTTACACTTTTGACCTGTGTTAATCACCCAACCCCGTTCCCTGCAGCTCCAACGGGCCCAGTAGCAGGTAAGATAGATGAGAACAAAAGGATACTCAAGGTGTCAGGATTCCAGCAATCGCTCTAATTAAATCATGATTCTCGAGCCAAATTTCAAAGGATTTAATTGAGGCGACATACTGACACTGCCCTGTATGAAGCCAATTCTGGCATACATAATTTACAGTCACCTGTGACCCTGTTTCCCCCCTCCCCGCCTGGGTGGGGCTGGGTGTCAACATTCAAGTTCTCCAATTAAATACATATATTCACAGGCAAAAACTCTGGTTTAGTTACAATCTTTTAAAGATAAGAGTTGGAATGTACTTTCGCTTTGCTGCACTGCTCTTCCAGATTTCTTTCCTCCCCACCCCCTTTTTTATGGCAACTACTAAAACAGGCATAGGAATGTTTTATGAGTTGACACAGGAATGAGGTCAGATTGATGAGGGAAGCATCCATCTTGCGCAGGGCCATAAGTAATGGCTTTGAGGATAATGAAGGCCTAAACCAGGAGGACGGAGTTGGGTACCAAGCTGATGTCTCTGAAGGTATAAAAGGTCGCCATACTTTTCCCAAAGTGCGGCTTTTCCCTTGCATGCTCTTTGCTTGTATGTGGAGGGACAGTCTACTCAACTCTTTGCTTTGATCAAAATAAAAGCTGTTACTATTCCAAGGCTCTGCTTAAACACTTCTTTGGATCTATCATTGACTTAAGCACACCCCTAAAGCCTTACAGCTTCTTATCGAAGGAGCTTCTTCAACTCTAACTGGATGGTGGGGAATGAAAGGTTTGATACTCCGTGCAGACAGCTGGCCATTTGAATTTTTTTTAGACAGTCATTGAGGCCACTTGGAGATTTATCTGTGTCCTCAGGGTCACGTGAGTGGTGCATTTTGGTGTGGAGCAGTGGTGGTATTCTACCGATTCGGCCCGGTTCTGCTGAGCCGGTAGCGGTGAGGAGCAGCAGAGACCAAACCGGTTCTCTCCGCCGCTCTGCTGTTGGGTCCACCCGCCCACCTGGGCACCCATACTCACCTTTATCCTCTGCTTTTGAAGCGCAGCTGCTTTGTGCGGCACAGCAGAGTGCCACGCAGCAGCTGCTGAAGCGACCGGGAGAGTGCAGGCTTGCAGGAGGTGAGTTGGAATGCCTCTGCGCTTGCGCAATGTGTGCATTTGGCGCATGCATGCACACATGCACACAAAGTGTGCACGCACACAAAGCACACTACCAAGCCACACCCACCCAACCGGTGGTAAAACTTTTTGAATCCCACCACTTGGTGTGGAGCCTTTGTGGAACTGCTGCAAGGGCTGTGTTATAGACTGGAGATGGATGATGTCATATCCCTTCCCCTCTGTTGAGAGAGGGCTGTTCAATTTTCAATTTTTCATCCATTTCCAGTCTACAACACAGTCCTTTCAGCAGTTCCAAGAAGGCTCCACATCCATCTGCACCACTCAGGTGACCCTGAGGACACAGACGAACTTCCAAGTGGCCTCAAGGACTCTCTAAAAGGATGCAAATAACCAGCTGTCTTCAGCTTTTGGTACATAAGATGACCCCCTCCTCTTTGTGGCAGCCCCTCAAATATTGGAATATTGCTATCATGTCCCCCTACCCCTTCTTTTCTCTAGACTGGCTATACCCAAATCCTGCAACCGTTCTTCATATGTTTTAGTCTCCAGGACTTTAATCACCCTAGTTGCTCTTCTCTGAACTTTTTCCAAGATCTCTTTGTGGTGACCAAAACTGGATGCAGGATTCCAGGTGTGCCCTTACTAAGGCTTTATAAAGTGGTACTAATACTTCACGTGATTTTGATTCTTAGACTAGACTAGAATAACAGAGTTGGAAGGGACCTTGTAGGTCATCTAGTCCAATCCCTTGCTCAAGCAGGAGATCCTATACCACCGTCTCTTCTTGAAAGCTCTTCATCATCAGAATGACCTTGTTGCTGTTCCACTCCTTAGCCTCCGGCTGCCCCAACTCTGTGATGGCCACGTGTTTCCCGAGGTGGCTGTCGAAGCGGACAAACGCCCGCCGGTCGTAGAAGTACCTGTCCAAGTAACGTACCCGGTGCGTCCCATCAAGGGAGAAAAGACAGTCGGTCTTCTCCTGATACAAGAAATGGATTGCAGGGGGGAGCGAGGGAGGAAGAGGAGGAGGAGGAGGAAGGCCATCATAATGGAGTCCAGAGACACCTGAGCAGACTGTTTGCTTCAGTGGCCAACAGAGCCAACACGATCTTGGGCTGCATCCACAAAGGGACTCCACAGATCAGACTGTGGCTTTTTCCCAATGGGAAAAAGAGGCAGAAGGGCTGGGAAGGGGCAGAGGCAGTGGTGGTATGCTACCGGTTCGACCCAGTTTGGCGGTAGTGAAAAAAACCCTCTGACGATCAGCTGAGAGGAGGAAAAGATGCGAGGAGAAAAAAGAGAAAAGGGCAGGATCAGCCCACCTGCCCCTGCAATTTACTCCTTTGCTTGGTGTGGGGAAAGCTGCACACGTGCATTAGGTGCACATGCATTAGGTGTGCACGCACACACGCACACACGCAATCACCAAACCAAGAAAAACCTAAAGTACACATATAAACTGGGTGAAACCAGGCTTAATAGCAGTAACTGTGAGAGGGATCTTGGAGTTTTAGTGGACAACCAGCTAAATAGGAGCACGCCGTGTGCAGCAGCAGCCAAATGCAATCCTAAGTTACATTAACAGAGGGATACAATCAAGATCAAGTGAGGTATTGATACCTCTCTATAAAGCCTTAGTAAGACCACACCTAGACTACTGCATCCAGTTTTGGTCACCACACTATAAAAAAGAGGTTGAGACTCTAGAAAAAGTACAGAGAGGAGCAACCAGGATGATTAGGGAACTGGAGACTCAAACATATGAAGAACGTTTACAGGAACTGGGCATGGCTAGTCTAGTGAAGAGAAGGACCAGGGGAGACAGTGTCCCAATATTTGAGGGTCTGCCACAGAGAGGAGGAAGGGGGGTCAAGCTATTTTCTAAAGCGCCTGTAGGCCAGACAAGGAAAAATGGATGGAAACTGAACAAGGAGAAATTTAGCCTGGAAATAAGGAGAAACTTTCTGACAGTGAGAACAATCAAATAATGGAACAGAAGTTGCCCTCGGAAGTTGTGGGAGCACCATCACTTGAGACCTTCAAGAAGAGATTGGACTGCCATCTGTCAGAAATAGTGTAGGGTCTCCTGCTTGAGCGGGGGGTTGGACTAGATGACCTACAAGGTCCCTTCCAACTCCAATTATCTGTTACCGGTTAAACCAGTAGTGGAACAGATAGGATCCCACTGCTGGGCAAAGGAGGCCAGAAACTTACAATGAGAGGCTGGGGGAGGATGGTCTCTTTTGCCTGAGGGAGGAGGAGGAGGAGGAGGAGGAGGAGGAAGAGGAGGAGGAGGAGAGGTGGAGCAGGAGGGAAAAGAGGAGGAGAAGGTGGTGGAGAAGGAGGGGCAAGGATGAAGAGGGGGAAGGGGAAGGAGGAGGAAGGAGGCCATCATAATGGACTCCAGGGTCCATTGGTCCCAGCCATTACAACATGAACAAATAATTTTGGGGGCTTTACCCTGTTTTAATGCAACAAACTTCGAGGAGTCCAGTCCCGGGTTTAATTCAGGACCCAGAAGGTCCGACTCTAGCCCAGCTGCGTGGGATGGCTTGCAAGACAGTCCCAGAGTTACTTTGCCATGTCACCCTTCCCCACTTTGGCCACATCCAAAGAAGAGGGGGTTCACTCTCTATCTTCCTGGGGGGGGGGGGGGGGGGGTAGGGGGAGACCATACGGGATGCATTCCATCCCAGAGGTAGAGTTGGTGGGTCTGAATTGGGGGGTGGAGGAAGTGTTTTTGTTTCCCTTCTCAAAATTGGCAGGAGAAGCAGAGGGACCAATTGGAATTGTCCCTTCTGTAGTGTCACCGGTCTCCAGGCAGAGTCTCTCTTGACTTCACCTTGTAGAGGTTCATGGCAGAGAGAGAAGCAGAGAAAGTGGGAGAATAGAATAGAATAGAATAGAATAGAAATAGAATAGAATAGAATAGAGAATAGAATAGAATAGAAGGCTTCCATCGCTTTCAAAGCCTCCAACTTCTTCCCCATCCAGAAAAAAAATAAAAATAAAAACGAAAATGGAAATAGGGCTCTTTGCAAAAAAAACAAAACAAAAAACATTTGAAAGGCTCGCGGTCTCTGAGAGGGCGGGGCCGCCAGGTCACGTAGCCGCGTAGCCGCGGGCCCGCCTACGCGATAATCCATTGCGCGCCCCGCGGCGGACGCCATTTTGAGACCGGGCGGAAGTGGATCCGGAGCGGCGCCCTCGGCTTCCGGTTTGCTGAGTGTGTGTTTCCCCGCCCCTCCCTTCCCGCGAGGCGAGAGCGGCGACCGGTATCCGCGGGGACTGGGCGGTTGGCGGGCGTCGCGCGGTTCTGAGGTGAGACTGCTGTCCCCATCGTCCCCGGCCAAACGGGGCTTCCCTCCCCTCAGAAGGACTTTGAACCCTCAGAAGGACTTTGAGGGGGGGGGGGCCCTCGTCCAGCTGCCGGACTACAGGGTCCGTTATCCCCAGGCGGGGGCGGGCGGGCGACCGTTAACGGGCTACATCTCCCATCATCCTGGCCGGCTGAGTTCCATCTGCCTCGGCTGGTAGAAAGACTACAACTCCCATCCTCCCCAAGAAACGCAGGCACTTGGCCGGGGTGGGGGGCAGGAGGGGAGTTGCCCTTTAGGGGCTGCATCGTCTCCCGGGCTGTGCACCATGGGCCCATTCCCCTCTGGAGGCTCAGCAATACTTGTGGCCTCTCCAGAGGCAGAGATTCAGAAAAATCCACATGGAATTTATTTATCATTTTGATTTATTATACACATACACAAGTGCTGATTTACCTATGTATCTATTATCTAGATTATCTCCATCCCTATTCATCGTTTTTTTTTTAATTTTAAAAAAACTATTGAAAATTAACATATTCAAATATATACAAATATATGTTATAAAAAGAAAGTAGGTTGATACATTTCATCATCGTTTTCTTGACAGTACAATCAATACAGTTAATACTTGACAGTTAATAGCCATATTAATAATAGTCAATAATCCATTAATAATATTAATAAAATAAGTAATTCAAATATATAGGTCGGTAAATCAAAAAGTATAAAGTTAGCACCAAGCTATATCTAAAGCAAATCAGGTATAAATCTATATAAATAGATGCACTTTATTCTATAATATTTAAAAAGAGAAAAAGTGTAAGATTTTATCTAAGTATTCCTTTATCTCTTCTTACTTCTAAATATATTAACTTTAATAATTACACAATATAAATATAACTAAATGAATATTATAAATATAGATATAAATATTAATATAAATCTCTACTTTCCTGACAATCCTATTATCTCTATACCTATCTACCTATCATCCATCTATCCATATCTATTATCTATCTACACATACTCAACTGGCTGGCAAACCGTACTCAACGAGTAGTCCTTAATGGGTCTAAGTCTACATGGAGGGAAGTAAGCAGTGGGGTGCCACAAGGTTCTGTCTTAGGCCCAGGACTCTTCAATATCTTCATTAACGACTTAGATGAGGGAATAGAAGGGGGACTTACCAAATTGGCAGATGATACTAAGCTGGCAGGAATAGCTAACACCCAAGAAGATAGGCTCAAGATCCAGATGGATCTTGACAGACTAGAACACTGGGCCCTATCTAACAGCACCCAGAAGGCAATGCACGCCCCCCATGCCCTCTACACATGCACGCGCAGTCCCACCCACCCAGCTACCCTCCCCCCGTCTGCATTGTGCTTCACAGCTGATTTTTGGGCAGTTTGAGGCCTTTTACGGCCTCCCAGAGGCTTCAGGAAGGCTTCTGCAGGCTTTTCAGGCCGAAAACTAAGCCCGTTTGGTCACTTCCAGTATTTCCGGAAAAACAGGAAGTGACAAAACGGGGCTAGTTTTCGGCCTGCAGAAGCCTTCCTGAAGTCTCTGGGAGGCCGAAAAAGGCCTCAAACCAGCCAAAAATCAGCTGTGAGGTGTGCGCATATGCAGTAAGGTAAGTTTGCCTGCAGCCCACGTGCCGGCACAAATGGCTCTGCGTGCCACCTATGGCACGCGTGCCATAGGTTCGCCATTACAGGTGTAGGATCTCCTGCTTGGGCAAGGGGTTGGACTAGATGACCTACAAGGTCCCTTCCAACTCTGATTATATGTTATCTGAATGAGGGCCATTTGGACACACATTAACACATACATACATACACAGGTAGTGCTCAACCTAACAACCGCAATTGAACCCAAAATTTACGTTAAGTGAGAAATTTGTGAAGTGAGTTTTGTCCCATTGTTACGGCTTTCCTTGCCACAGTTGTTAAGTGAGTAAACATGGGCCAGTTAAGCGAATCTGGCTTTCCCATTGGCTTTGCTTGTCAGAAGGTCACTAAAGAGGGAAATTGCGTGATATTTCATTTCTCATCTAAGAAACTCCATCAGTTTTGATGGGGTGGAGTGAGGTGGGGATCCCGACAGACGCTGGGACCGTCATAAATGTGAACCATTTGTCAAGCATCCGAATGTAAGCCACGTGACCACGGGGATGCTGCATCGGTCATAAGTCACTTTTTCAGTGCTGTTGTAACCCCCTGAACGGTCACCAAACGAACTGTTGTAAGTTGAGGACAATCTACTGGGAAACTGCTGGGAAAGAGGCACCTCTGGATGTAATATTCAGTGTAATCAGATGATTGACGTTCTTCTATTCTTTGTTCCAGTGTGGGAGAGAAACCAGAGGGGCTTTGGCACGTGCAAGGAGAGAGAGACACACACACACAATGGGTGAAGCTCTACAGAAGAAGCTACAGGGGGAGCTAGACAAATATCAGCAGCTGCAGAAAGGTCAGAACTCCCCCGGACCCTGCGGGGGAGGAGGGGGGAAGGGTCCCAGGACCGTCCCCTGCGCCGTCTTTCCATTGCTCCCAGTCGCTCCTGGAAGGAGGCAGTTCGTTCAAGGCCATTCTGCAGGACCCTGCTCTCTGGAGGTGGCAGCCATTTCAGAAGCCCAGTTTTTTAAAACACATTCCCAAGTCGGTTGCCCGGGCAGATGTGTTGAACTACACCTCCCATCTTCCCCAGCCAGCATCCCACCAGCCTGGCTGCAGGAAAACAATAGGAGCCGTAGTCCCACACTTGGTGTGACCCACCAAACATCTACTCACAACTTGTTAAGGTGGGTCTATAATGGCTGGTGAGGCTATCTGGATGCCCGCTAGCGCCTTCTCGCCCTCATCTCCCCATGGTATCTTCGCCCTTCAGCGCCCGCCTCTCAGGGCGCTGGAGCATGGTTCTACTCCTTCTTTCAAAACCTTCAGGGTGGCTTCCCCCAAACCAGCCAGAGCCTATCTTGCATTCCTGGAGAGCCGGTTGCAGAAGACAGAAGGAAGCAGCGTTGTGACTCCCCCACAGAAGGGTCCCCCTGCTGACTATGTTGGAGGGGTTCGCAAAGATGCGGATGGCCTCAGAGGGGCCCCAAGTGCTCTTCTCCATCTGAGAGGCTGAGCCTTTCAGCAGTTTTGGGGGTGGGGGCACAGAACCCATCTCTCTCCTGATTCCCTCCCCTCTGGACCTGAGAGGCTGCTGGAAACAGGCTGAGGAAGTCAAGAAGATTCCAGGTAAAGGACTCTAACCACAAGGGTGTGTGTGTGTGTGTGTCTCTTCCCCTCCTTGCAGATATGAGCAAATGCATGACAGCCCGTCAGAAGCTGGAAGCTCAGTTGACGGAGAACCATGTGGTGAAGGAGGTGAGGTCAGGCCTGGTTCCCCCACCTACCCCCCCCCCCGCCTTCCCTGGGCTTCCTTTCAGCAACAGCCCTCCTCCTCCCCTCCCCTCTAGGAATTGGACCTGCTGGACCCCTCTAACTCTGTCTACAAGCTCATTGGGCCGGTGCTGGTGAAGCAGGACACGGAGGAAGCCAAAGCAACCGTGGGAAAGAGGCTGGAGTACATCACAGGGGAGATGTGAGTAGACCGGGGGTTCCTGGGTGAGGCCTCCAGCTCCTGAGGCAGTCTATCTTGGGAGTCCCCACAGCTCTTCTGGGGCTTCTCCCTGTGCTCAGCTGCTCACCGGTTTGATCCTCTCTCCCCAGCAAACGCTACGAGGCTCAGATTCAGGACTATGAGCGGAAGTCGGAGCAGCATCGGGATGCCCTGGGCCGGCTGCAGCAGGAGTTCCAGCGGACCCAGGGCAAGGTGTCCGTCAAAACTTGAAGGGGCAGTGCAGAGGGAGGAGTGGGCCAGCCAGCCCCCAGGCCTGCCATTTGGGCCTTTTTGGATCCCTTCAAATAAAATTCTGTTGGACCTTTTATGCGTCTCCTCTCTTTCACTGGGGCTTGGGGGACCCAGAATTCCCAGAGGAAGATGCCCAGTGAGAGGAAGTCATCCAAAGGCGGACGCAGCTGAGGTGCTTGGATAAGTGAGCTCAGCCACATGAGAAAGACATGGCGAATCTTCCAGACGTGAAGGCAAAGTTTCCCTGACTTCAGACAAGGAGGGACAAAACATGTGCATCTGTGAAAGGAACCCCTTTGCCTGACTGGGGTACAGACCGTATTCCTCCTAGAACCTCTAATTCAGCGGTACCCAACCTTTCCAGCTTGGCCCAGTGTGGAGTGGTATGTTAGTAGCAGGCGCACGCATGTGGGTACAGCTCCATTTGTATGAGCGACAGGCGTGGGCGGCCCTAGACTCATGAACGGAACATTGTGGGCAAAAGTGGAGAAGTGTTTGGGCTGGCGCATGAACCTCTACTCGCGCGAGTGGAGGGCGCTTGCACGCTAAGCTCTATTCACACAAGTACAGGGTGTGCACGCACACAAATGGAGGTGTGCATGCATGCATGCGTTACTCCCCCCATGTTGGGCCGGCCTTCAAGCCACGTTTTTCGGTGCCGTAACTTTGAACGGTCACTAATCTGTTATAAGTCGAGGACTAACTGTACTCTTCCCCCTTCTGAAGATACACCCCCTCCATTGTTTCAATGTTCCATCTCCCCACGGTGAGACTTCTGTGTCCTGCCACCAGTTGGGTTGAAGCACTTAGCCAAGCCTGGAGACCACCAGATCCTGGTTCTCTGCATATACTAACCAGCCATTCTGGGATTTCCTTTCCCGCCATTCCTGAGAGGTGATCTGATCCAAGAAAGCGCCAATCTCCCCTGCTTTGGATCCCCCGACGTTTCTCCATCCTTTCACCCAGCTTTGGTTCCATAGGAGCTTCATCTCCGTTGCTCTTTTTTGGAGTCAACCCCTACGGCTTTTATTTGCTCTAGAGCAATAAAGGATAAAAGAAGAAAACCCAAAAGTGCTGCAAGTATACATTTGGCCCTTAGTTGTACGTGTATTTTAACGAGTACCACTCAGTCACCCAGAGATCAAGGAGTGGCTTCTTTTAAAACCAAGGGCAGAAGGAAACCATGAGTTACAGAGGGACAAGGAGACGCTGATTTTGCTTCCGAGAAAAAAGGGTGAAAGGCAGGTGCCGGTTCAAGGCTGTGGGAGGAAGGCTCCAACTCGGCGCTTCCACCCTTCCATCAGCAGCAAGTCGGAAGCGCTCCCGCAGGATAACTGCACCAGGGTTGCCAGATCGCAGCTTGGCTCTGTGGCCAAACGCAAGTCAAAATTTGGCCAAATTATTTTCTCTCACGGCCAAATTTTCCGGCCACATTTTTTTATGCAATATAACATGAGGATATATTGTTTTTTGTTTTTTTAACTGTTTTTAAATAATCAAATCATAAAAAATAGTCTTTATTCGACAACGTGACATGACATCATGGGAATTTCTGCGTTTCTTTACTTGCATCCAGGCTAGGCAGCTCACTTCAAATAACCGCTCTACCGTTTGGAAAGCTCAGGGCCAAATGCAGCGATCCTGAGGAGGGGGGAGCTAGGGCATGAGGGTTTTTAGGGGGATTTCCCCCCCCCGATTGAAAAAATATAATCACTAAATAAATAAAATGACACAAAAATAGCAATTTTATATATATGAATCCTTATGAAAACTGAATGCTCAATAACCATCTTTTCAAAAAGAGAGGAATTATCCCAATAATTACATGAAAACAAAGAGTACTTCTAATGTAGTAATGTGAAGAAAGAAAAAGGTAAAAAAACAAACTATAAGATCAAGTCTGTCAAGTATACACATACACATTACACATAGCTGCCTTACCATGCATGCAGAGTACACGCAAAATGCGTTTAGCTAGCTTATATGTACCACAGGCGTATTCTCTCGGTCGCACATCCGGGATTTTCCATGACGCCGTGCGCCGACTGGCGAGAAAACAATCCAATACTGAGATGTTTACATCCGGGTTAACATCTGCTTATATTACACAGCGCTGTTCAGTCAGAAGGCTTCAGCTTGTGTATCGCGTCGTTTTTCAGAGGTTTTCAGACGATCTGACAGTCATTTTCATGCGAATATATTGTATTGAAAACCGGTATTCGGCCAAAATTTCAATTTCACGGCCAAGCAACTTTCATACGGCCAAATTTCCGGCCAAATATATTTGGCCAGAGACATGATTTTTTTTCACGGCCAGATTTCTATACAGCCAGATTTCTCGAATTTGGCCGGAAAAACGGCCAGATGGCAACCCTGAACTGCACACTCAGCTATTTCGTGCCTATCTGAGTGGCGCGCATGCTCAGTAGAGCCCTTCCCAATGAGCGAGGCTGTTCCTCCCCATCTTGGCCTCGGTAGCTAATAGGCTGCAGATGTTGTGCTGGGGTGGAGCATGAATGACAAGAGGGGGAGCGGGAGCCCGCCGGGTCACATGAGCTTGGCGAGCCAATGGCAGGCGAGAGGCGCCTGTCAGATTTGAGCGGGAAACGGGAATCTCGGAATCGCCTCAGCCGCTTCTCTGCTGGGTACGAATTTTCCTCCTCGCTCTGAGGAAAGTCATATACAAACATACACTAAACTAACTGTCTCTCTCTCTCTCACACACACACACACACAAAAACTCCACCTGAGGAGAAGCAACACTGCCCTGATGGGCCCTGGGCTTGGTGATCTCCTTGGTCCCGTCAAGGGGATCTCTGGGGCCTTTTGTTTCCCCTCAGACCTTGGAAAGCCTTTGGCAGCTTCCCCTTGGGGACATAGGATCTCCTGGTGGTCTCCTAACCCAGCCTCCACAAAGCTGAATTTTCTCAGCTCCCTCCAGGCGAAGGGTGGAAGAAAGGGCCATAAAAGGAGAATTGGGCTCTGTGAAAGGTGGATGAGCTGCAGGGTGGAGGCGTTGATTCAGCCCCAAGGTGAGAGGTTTGTTTTGTCTGGTGTGAGTAGCCAATAATCACACAGAGGTGGAAGGTAATATATTTAAAACTTTTATTTCTGTAACAGGTAAAAAAAAAATCACACTAGGGACTAGAGAAACAAACCAAGGAATCTGGTGGGCCCTCACGCCAAACTTATAAACCTCACAAATCTCAGATTATACCAGCAGTTTTAATTGGTTCAAGACACCCCATAGGAAGTCATGTCTGTTACTCGCTTAGTGGCCAATTGCTTTGCAGGGAAAGTTCCAATCCAATTGTAGTAAGTCTCTATAGTCACAAGAGCTGACCCTGATTTCAGGGCACACAATCAAAAATTAAATTAGCCAGCTTCTCATAAGTATTAAGTCAATGTGGAAGCCACAAGAAGTCACATGTTGCAATCGATTCACATTGTCCTTTATGACCATGGAGGATTGGATTAACAGTTACAAGTGGAACTGCCCAACTGATGTAAGACCAGCACAGTCATACGATGTTTCAATTTATGACTGCATGGCTTAATAATGGAGTTGCCAATCCCTATTGTTGTCAGAAAGCAAGGGTTACTTGTTACGTACTTACTTAAAATTTTAACATTCATAGAGCTGCCAATCTTAAACTGAGTGGCTTACAGTCAATAAAATAATATAAAAGCAAACAGCAAAAAAAAAAACCAAAAAGGTGCCTCGGCCTCATTTCTCTAATGTGCCCATTTTAAGGGCTCCTGGAAGGATAAAAGGGGCAGAGGCTATCAGATCTTGGAAAGCGTGTTCCATAGGCAGACACTGCAACTACTGAGGACCCATGAGATGGCAATATTTAAGAGAAAGGACAACTCTATTGCTCCAGTGGAACAGGCAAATGGCATTAGCACTTAAGACTTACATACCACTCTTTAGAGCACCCTCTGAGTAATTTACAATGTCAGACAGATATCCTCAGGGAAAGTTAGTCCTATAGATATATAGTCCTGCATGTCAAGTGTTTTAACATGAATCAGTTTGCAATTCTTGACTAAAGTTGTGTCTGCATTCCATGCTTTTATAAGGTTTCATATCATAGTGGATCCGCTTACATGAATTAAGGATATTTCAGTCCCTAAAGGCATCTCCTCCACATGGGTCCTTTTATGGGAAGTAAGTTGATTGCTCCACATGAAATTCTTTCCACACAACATGCATTCATATTTTTTCTCCCCTGTGTGGATTCTTTCATGAGAAATAAGAGTTCTGTTTTCAGAAAAACTCTTTCCACATTCCATACATTTATAAGGTTTCAACCCTGTGTGGATCTTTTGATGGGAATTTAGGTGACTTTTCAACCTAAAGCTCTTCCCACACTCCATGCACTGATATAGTTTCTTCCCTGTGTGGATACTAATGTGGTAAGTAAGAGAGCTGCTTGTACTAAAGCTCTTCCCACATTGATTGCATATATAAGGTTTGAATCCTGAGTGGATCCTTCTGTGGCAAGTAAGGGAACTGCTTCGACTGAAGCTCTTTCCACAGTCCACACATTTATACGGTTTCTCTCCTGTGTGGACTCTTTTATGGGAGGTCAGGGAACAATTATGGCTGAAGCTCTTTCCACACTCCAGACATTGATAGGGTTTCTCTCCTGTGTGAATCCTCCTATGAGACATCAGGTGGCCACGGCCATGAAAAGTTTTTCCACAGTCCACACATTTATAAGGTTTTTCCCCAGAATGGATCCTTTTGTGGGAAGTAAGAACACTGCTCTTGCTAAAGCTCTTCCCACACTCGATGCATTCATAGGGTTTCTCTCCCGTATGGATCCTTTTGTGGGAAGTCAGGTAACAGCTTTTACTGAAGTTTTTCCCACACTCTATGCACTTATATGGCTTCTCACCTGTATGGATCCTTCTATGAGAAGTAAGGGAACTGCTCAAACTGAAACATTTCCCACAATCTATGCATTTGTAAGGTTTCTCTCCTGTGTGCATCCTTCTGTGGGCAGTAAGGACGCTGCTTTTGCTAAAGCTCTTCCCACACTCGATGCATTCATAGGGTCTTTCTCCC